TATTCATATTGTGGATCATGCTATACCAGTTTTGATGATGACTTGTTATGTAAATCACCTCTCATGGATCCTGTCCTAGAACCAACTTGATTAATAGTACTCTATGCACGACGTCCCATCATAACTTTTATATAGAGCAAAAACATTCCATAAGTATTCCAATAACACAAAAAAAACATATATAATATTATTTTAATAATACAATATTAAATTAAATTAGCAAAATATATAAAAATAAGCATATAAAACAAACAATCAAGTATTATATTTACTTGAAATATATTGTAAACATTGAATAAATATTATATATAGCATTAAAAGTTACACTACATATATCAATAATTATTAGAATAAGCAAACTCACATGTTTCATCATCATCATTGTCGTAAAGGTTTGAGGGATGCTAGATGAATTTGAAAAATAAAAAGAGTCTCCACTAATTACTTTTGGCTAGATGCAATTGATCACTTATTAAAACTTACATTTTTAATAAAAATTTTTAAATTAATTAAAATTTTATTAAAAAGATAATTTTTTTTATCTATAAAAACAATTTGGAATCAAGAGTCGATTGTGCATAAGAAATAATTAGTACCCTCATAACGCCTATAAAAAGGACACCAATTAATTTTTTTTTTTTTAATTTTGACAAAAAAATATTAATTTTGTTATTTAAAATTTAATTTTCTTAACTTTTTTTATTGTAAAAACATATTTTTATTTTTAGTTGTTTACTTAAGAAATAAATAAGAATTGGGCATATTAAAAAATTTTCAAAAATATTCAATACTTTGGCAATATTAATGGCAACTTTCTCACATAAGGAATTCTTAAAAATCTCTACTTAAAATTCTTAAAAATTTTATTCTCAATGATTCATATTTATCATCAAAATTTATATTTAATAATCAAATTGTAGAAAATGATATTTATAATTTAATAAGCAATGTCTTGCAACTTCTTCAATAGTTCGTTTTACATTCAAAAACCATCATCTAATTCGAAAATTCCATTCCCTTGAATTGATATTTACTAACTCAACAACTACACATTCCTTTTCTTCTTGCACGGAGAAAAGTCTAGGAATAAGCCCAAAATCTCCTCCATTTGAATGAAATTTAAATCAACAATCCCAACTCCATCAGCAGTGCAGCCCCTCGTTTCATCTGAACACCTAATAGTATTAAAATCGCTAGCCCTACACTTATTTCCTCTCATTTCATGCTTCAGCGCAACCAGTTCACTCCTTAATCTCTTCTTTCATACTGGTCGTTAGAAGCATACTCATAAACCAGCACATAAATCTGTTTTGGATCACCGCTGAAGTTAAATTTTTTTCCCAAATCATTATTAATCCACCCGATCTTCCTTCAGCAAGACAAGATCCCTCATAAAAAAGGCCAAATCTTCTTAGCAATTCCAAAAATCACAAGAAACCTATTTAGTTTCCTGCAACAACACCATTTTAATATTACATTCCCTTATCATCCTCCTAACTAATTGAATTTTCATGCCCCTGGAAAGACCTCAAACATTCCATGACAATATTTCCATTATCCTCCCTCTAACAGAGTCCCAGAAAATATACAACATACCCTCACACTACCATAATCCCACAACAAAATATTTATCTACCTACAAAATATCAACACCCTGTCATCTAGGAACACAAATCCAAAATCACCTCAAAATATAGAAGAAATAATGTTTGGATATTACCCATACCAGACCCTTATCAGGCTTGATACATTATCTGTAGCCTTTTAATAACCTCTTCTTCATCTCCTATAGCAGTAGCCCTAGCTGCTTCCCCACATTCCAGATGGATTTTGCTTTCTTCAGTATTTCCATTCTTTATCTCCTTCAGATAACACCCCATTTCGATTCCTAAAGTCCCCATCGGAAATCGATCCGTTTGCAATATGTACATCGTCGATTGACCTCTTTTTAGTTGTTGTACCCTTTCTACTTTTTGTTTATTATTTTCTTCCTCATCTTATTCACTCGTCCAATCACTTTTTCTTCTATATCTTCATAAAACCACCATTTTTCCCCCTAGTTTAAGCCTCGCTATCTCTCTTATCAAAATTGGGCCGACCTTTATCCTTTTTCATTAGATTCGGGCCCTCTTTTTCAATTAATTCTTCAGTAGTCTCAATAGTTGTGTCCTTTATTGAGCCTGCATAATCCCCCCACTTAAGCCCATCTTTCTTGCTTTTCACCAGCCCATCATCGCCCCATTTCTTAGCATCTCTTTCTACTTCCACCCATGTTTTATTGCTTGAAGACGCCCCTTGAGCTTCTTCTATACCATCTTCTTCGTTACAACAAACTTCACTCCGGGTAGTATTTGCTACATAGGTCTAAACGTTTTGACTAATCGGATCCATTTCTATAACTCTCACTGGATAAAATAATTCACCCACCTTCAACTGATTGTACCAAGGATTTTTGACCAAGAATCGATAACAATTTTGATATAACCCCTAGTAAAAGATTCTAGCTTTAGTGTGTCTTCATCCATACAAATAAATTCCCCCAACAACTTGCAATATTTTGAAAGGTCTTCAAATTCTAGACATGGATTAGAATTCCATAGCAAGCTATCCACGTATTCCTTTTAAATTCGGTAATTTTTCAGACCAAATCTCAATATTCTTAAACCATTTAGATAACCCAGCCCAACTTTTTGCTTTCATTTCATCGAACTTACTTGTATCACGAAAAGTAACAAGAAAAGAATCTCCAGAGAATTTTCAAACAACCAAACCATTCATCCTTTCCTTCCTTAGCAGATAATGTAGAACGCCCATCTCTATGTATTCTTTGTTTATGCCTACTATGCTTCTTTCCAACCAATATTATATCTCATCATCCATTTTTCCAGAACACTGTTTGTCACCCCTCGACAAGTCTGGTTAAAATAGTTGTTGAACATCATTGGACCTTGAATCATTCTCGTATTGTGAAATTGGAGCTCCACTATTTTTTCCTTCCCCTAGAACTTGGAGATAAGATCTTCGAGTGTTAAACCCTCTACCATCGTGTCTTACAATCTGAAACTTTGGGGCAAAAGGTCTTCGTTCAATCCTACCATGAAGCTCTCGGTTCATATTCTAGGCTCTCAACCCCTCCTCCCCTATTTCTGCTTCATCTATTTCCATCGTTGATTTTTTTTCCAAAAAGCTACTCTAGGATTGTATCTAGCTATACAAACATCAATCTTCTTGTCCAAAATTCGTTCTCCATTAAGATTCCCCACTACCCTTCTCGTTTCAGCTAATGATGCAAAACAAACAAAACCAAATCTTCTTCCGCGGCTACTATTTTTCTGGGGTATGAAGACTTCCATCGCATTTCCGTACTTTCCACACGCCTTCTCCAACCATCTCCAATTAACCTGTGGAGAGAGATTATTCACAGAGATAGTCACCACCATATCCGCGTTAAAATCTTTAGTCTCTAAGTAGTTTTAAATTTAGTTTCCTTAAGGGATACTTTATGCCACATCAATGCCATGTAATATTTTTTTATCTTCCTAACCAGATCTAATTGTCATAAAAAAAAAAAATTTTCCAACCGCGTTAAGTAAAATAAAAGAATGGTTTTTTGCTCACTATTAATTACCGGTGGAAAGAACAACATAAAATAATTTGACAGAGAATAATTTGGAGAATGATCGATGTGGGTTCTTCATCTAAGTGCTTAATTGTTTACTTTATTTTATTGTTACTTTAAATTTAAACTTTTGAACTCTTCGTCTACGTGCTTAACTTTTTTTGGATTCATTATTACTTTCAAATTAAACTTTTGTACATTTTTTTAATCATGAATAATTGTGTATTGTAAAGAAATTTGTGATTATCACACATGACTGAAGTGAGTTTTGTAAGTAATTTATTACTCGAGTCTTTTGAAAGGTAAACAGTTTTATGAGCTTGTATGTATCTAACAAGTGTTTGTAGTTATTCCCCAATGAATATGTGTATTGTTTTCGTAATAAGCTTTTAGGGTGCTATAAATATGCTTAGTTATCACTAAACAATGAGTATATTACCTTTGTTATTCATAGTCAATGTTTTTTTTTTTTTTTGGTTCTCAAGTAAAATTATTTTATTCATATCTTTGTTGAATGTATGCAAGGTTTCAAGAAATCCGAGAAGATTCCCAATAAAAATTAGTGAAGACAGTGACATTCCAGTGGCGTAATTTGTGGTGTTATATATATAAATATATCATGTTATAATATCATCATAGTCACTCATGCATATTTTTTAAGTTTTTTTAAGAGAATATATGTAAATAAAAATTTCAATCCAATGAAAGATTATTCAAAATATATGACATAATTATTATATTTCAAAAATAAATAAAAATTGTAATAAATGAACAAAAAATAAAAAAAATTATTATATTTAAGAAGAAATCAACAACCTAATAAAACAAAATCAACCAAAAATGTAAACTTAATGAAACTTACATATGATGGATATGAACTTCATTGAGAAAAGTTTTCTTTTAAATGAGTTTCAAACTATTTTTATTTTTAACTGAAAAACAGAAGTTACCAAATATTCTCAGAGAATCAAAAATAAAAAGCAAAAAAAACATAGAAATCAAATTTAGAAATAAAATGCAAAAGAAAAAAAAAATGAAAAGAGACAAAAACGGCAATGGCCAAGAATTTTACATAATTGGAGTCTTCGTCAATTGATTTAGAGAATAGTCCTCAAATTGTGCCAAACTCATCATGAAGAACCCAAACATTCCTGTCTGCCGGCTTTCCAAATTTAATTTTTTCAAAACATTTTATTAAAAAAAAAAGATTTTTTTATGAACTAAAAAAAGTAATTCTAGTTAGGAGATTGGCGGAAAAAGAAAATTATTTTTTACAAAGAAGATCTTAGTATGAAAATAGATAAAATAATTGGAGGTGTTGAAATTTAAAATCCCATTGAATATTATCTTTTAAGATAATTATATAAATTAATTAAGTTAAATTTAAAATTAAAAAAAAAGAACTTTTGCACTCAAATGTCACAACGCAACAAGGATAAATTATTTTACAACCCACACAAAATATATAGTAAACAGATGAAACATGAGTCCCATCCTTCCCTTCTAGACCCATTACTTTTACAGAGAAGATGAAATAAAAACCGATTGACGCACACTCTCGTCTGTTAGCTTCCCCTTTAACATACCATCTACCTCTTTCACAAATATCTCCATAGCTTGGGCTGGCAATGTAATTGGTAGCACAATTCCAGCCTCTCCTTTCTTGTTTTCGAATGGTATCAAAAAACTTGCGACCCCAGGTATGGCCCCTACCCCACCCTTCGCTGGGCCACCATACACTGCCTTACCCCATCCGAAATCCACGTCTCCGAACCCGGCACGTGTTACGTCAGAGACAAGGTAAGACCGAACCACTGTAAAATGGGGTCGACCCTTGATCACCATCAAATTCGCTAGTGATTTCATGTACTCCTCCGTTACATCAGCCTTTGCTTGTCTCACAAGTTCTAATGCGTACCCTAATGGATTTTGACGGAGTTGCCCTGCTTTTGATACCGCCACAGGGAAAGCGAACGCATTCCCGTAATATCCTGAAGGCAATGGAGGATCAAACTTGGAACGCGCGTTTACGATGCATATGATGCGAACCTCTTCCTCGGGATTAGCTTGAATGGCAATGGTTCGACAACGCCATAAGCAAGCGGTTAAGAGTTCAAAGGTTGAACACCTTTGGAGGTGTTGGGGCACAAGTTTACGCAGTGCTGAGACTTCCGTGGGGCCAAAGAAAAAGGAGCGATGGGCCATGTCATCATAGGGGACAATGGTTCCTTCTACCTCGTCGTACTCACGATGATTACATGTGACTCTTGGTGGGTCTCTAGCCCCTAAGAGATGCCTTTCCCATACGGGTGGGATTGATGGGGCAAGCCAGCCACGAGCCATCTCTCCCACGGCTGACATGAATAGGGTTAGGCCAGCGGCGTCACTCATGGTGTGGTTGAGGCGGAGGGCGAAGATGAAACCACCACATCTCAGCCGTGTGACCTGTTATCCAAGATTAATTAATTCAATACAGTTAGATTATTATCTCTATTTAACAAATAAATATATTTTTTACAAATTTTATAATAAAGATTAGAAAATAAATAAGTCAAAATAAAATTAAAACTTATATTTAATAAAAATATTATTTTTCTTTTACTTTTTCCATTTTAACAAATATATATTTTTTACAAAGTTTATACATGAATAAAGTTTAGAAAATAAAACCGAAAACATATAAAAAAATAAAAACAAAAGTAATATTATGATATGGTTTTTTTAATAGATATCTATTTTTTTTTTTATAACCATCTTAATATAATTTAAATTCTATGCTAGATTCTCAAAATTATAAGAGAAAGACAATAAATCAAGACAGCGACCTGTCAGCTATTGTTTCATAGTGAGTCATTGAAAGGTTCTTTATAATTAAAGATGCGAAAAAACACCACTGTCGTTTTATTGGTGGGCGCCTACTCATCTCAGAACACAAAATTTTCCACAACAAAATATCATTTGCCACAAACATCCTTGTGAGAATGCTTTGTCTGCTTCCAATCCAAGTTGTTCTTTTTTTTTTCCCTTTTTATAGCGCAATTCTAATTCCGAGCTTAGCCAAAGTGACTTCAATTTAGATATAAAATTTTAAAACACGATAAGGTAATGTAGCATAAAAATAATGCAAAAATACTCTTTGTCTTTTTTTTATACTTTTTTAGATGTCTTAATTTTTTTTTCTTTTTTGAATATCTAAAACTCTTATTTTATATATTTTAAAATTATTTTTTATGATTTTTTTATTTTTTAACATTAAAAGTTGTGAAACTTTAATTTTATAAAAATTTTAATTTTAATATTAAATACATTAAAGTTTAAAAAAAAATTTTAATTCCCTAAAAATTAATACCATCCAAATAATTTGAGACGGAAAGAATATAAAAATACTAAGATTTAAATTTTTAATAAAAATTATATATAAATTTAATAAATAAAAAAATTTATATTTTTAAGTTAAAATAAATTATGAAATACGATATCAATATATATATATATATATATATTATTAGTACTTTTACTATATAAATATATAAATTTTTAAATCAGTTTCTTTTTAAACTATAGAAAAACTTTTATAGCGCAATTCATGTGGTCGAGGAAATCAACCTCTTTTATTCTCTTTAATTTACCATTTTGGAACCTCATACTATCCAAATTTATATTTGATAATATTATGTGCAAAAATATGATATTAAAAAGTTGGGTTAATGATCTGTTTCTTAAATAATATTGAGAAGTATTTTGGAAGTCGGTCGGGGTTCAAAAAACAAGTACCTGAATAAGCAACAATGGGCAATTCAGCACGCCAACAGAGCCAGGAACATCATAAAGGAGCTCCTCCAAGCAAGGGAATGGTGGCTGAAGTGCATCACCAAATTGCTCAAGTGTAACATCGGCATCGGCTTCAATAAACATCACACCTTCAGCAGTGCAATCCACCATGAGCTTGCGGTGAGGTCCTTCCCTAAGCCTACCAGCAAATGGATAATAAAACACTAAGGTTTGTGCAAGTGCCTCCCTAATCACACTAGCAGGGTCCTTCCCTTGCATGGAAGGGTTGTATCGGTAAAATTGGATCACCGGAATTTGGAACCTGAGACCTTTTTGATCATCGATGTCGGATAATAGTTTGTATTCATGCGGGGTAGGCTTAGCTGGAGCTATCAATTCTGGTTCATGTCTGTAAACCGCGAACGTTAAGGGAATAGATGAAGATGCCATGATAGCGAATGACAAAAAATGGAAAAAGGTCACAACGTTCTTGGTGGTTTGGTTTGCTTAAATGCTTGTGAGAGTGGTATATAAAGAAAGAAATGGAAAAGTTCTTACTTAATTTGTTAAAATCTTGGTGAAAATTTTTCGAGAAAGAGGAAAAAAAAAAGGACATGTTATTTTAATTCTATTCGACAAAACAAAATGAGGGTTGTTGAGATGTTGCATCGTGATGAAGAAAAAGAAGTGGGAGGGAAAACTACCAGAAATTGCAGTGCGAATTTCATGGCTTCCAATGACTAGATTGACTCATTAAATTGGATTAATTTGACTAGGAAAAATGAGCTGCTTGGCCCAAATTTTTTATTTCAAATATATTAACGATATATACAAAACACAAAGACTTAATTGGTCAACTTTATTAAGGTGGGTTTCAACTTTCAACATATTATTTATGAACTCTTTGTCTTGGCCTAGACCAATTGCTACCAAACCATTATTTGTTTTATTTTACTATTTTTTTTTTCATTCTATCTCCAACCTAACTTCTGAAAATCATGTGTATAAAACTATAATCTTAAATTTTTAAATAATTTCCATAAAATATTTTAAAATAGTCTCAAATGGACATTAAATTAGCTAAGGAATGAAATTTCAATATAGCAAATACAAATTATGCAATTAACCTAGTCAATTTGTCGGTTAAAATTAGCCACTAAAACAATATCCATTTAGGTAAAATATCCAATATCATGTCATGTGATGAACTGCCAGCTGATTTTGTCATCTTTAACTTTTACTATTTTCTTTAAATGTACACTTTTATCAATTTAATTAGTTTTATTATACAATATTTTGGCAATATTTTAAGTTTAAAGATTCACTTAGATCAATATAAAATTAAAAAAATTGTGTACTCTTTTTTATTTTTAAATAAAAATTAAATTTATGATTAAGATTAAAAATATTTTTATTTTTTTATTATTTTAATCAAAATTAACCATCAATTTAATTTTGATCTAATAATAAAAAATATATAAAATTCTTTAATTTTACACTGGTGTAGCATATTATCAATTTATAATAACTATAAACTAAAGAAGTCAATTGTTGCTAAAAAACCAAATCAACAACATTTTGAGAAATTTACAGTAAAAATAAACTATTGAAAAGTAATTTGATAGCTTATTGATAAGAGTTTGCATTAAATTTACAGATTGCTTTTAAAAAATTACTGAAAGCAAAAATTGAATTTAAAACATACAAATAAAATATTTGATTTTTATCAATTTAATCGATTTTATTGTTAATTATATGTTAGATAATTTAAATTAAAGTAACTGACTGAAAGGAGATGGAAAGAAAAAAAGGAAAAAGGAGGTACGCACTTGTCATTTTGTTTATAAGCAAAATCTTTAGTCCAGCAGTGCTGGGCTGCTGGAATTCAAGCACATTCTTCACTTTCCTCCCTGTTTGAAAGCATTTTCCAAGTTACAACAGCGAAAATAATTCAAGCAAAAGATTAAAAAAAAAAAAAAAGAAAAGGTATTGTCCAACTAGCAGACAAGATGGAGCATGATCATCTTCTCTTGTATAGCTTTAATTTCCTTCGTTGTCCTGTCTTCTCAATAATTCAAAGAGTATCGTGCCAGAGACAAGTATCGTGCCGGAGACAGTAATGCACATAAACACATGGATAAAAGAATATTCTCGTTTTTCTTTGAAAAATTATTTTCCTGAAAGCTTCAGTTCCGGATTGCTTAAAATAATTGAGAGTAAAATGATTTATGAAAAATATTGTTGAACACTTTTAACTCTGGCTTGGAGTAGCAAGTATGTTCCTTTTCAAATTATTGTATGTACAAAAGCATTGAATTGATAGTTTCAGTGATTAAAATTTAAATTTTAATAATTTTAAAATATTAAAATATTTGTTTTTTTACCTGAGTAAAATGGATTAACTTAAATAATTTAATAGGATAAATTAATTTTACCTATAATTCAGTTAAAAAATTAATATTGATAGTACTTTATCTATTAATTAGTGAGAAACATGTGACTTCTCTAAGTCAACAAAAATTACTATATAAAATATTTAATATTATTTGGCCAAAAGAATATTAATATTAAAATTTGTTTTTAACATTTGAAAAACGAGATTATAATGATTTTTAACTTATGTAAAATCTAATTACGTTATAGAGATATATAGAAAATATAACTATGCTAAGGTATGATTTTATGAAGCTCCATTTTCTTGCAACAGAAATATACGACAGTTCTTTGTATTGCTAGCTTTATCGCTAGCTTTATTTCCTTTCTAATATTAATAAAATTTATTTTGGCCAAGTATAAAAAAAAATAAATTATAAATATTTAGATTTTAATTGCACTGAATATTATTTTTTAAGAATAATTATATAAATTAATTAAATTAATTTTCAAAGTTATCTTGTTTGTTTGGCTGACTCGGTCAAGTTATGAACACCATTTATGTTCTCTTATGCCTTTCTATTTCAATTCCGGGTCCCAAAAAAGAAAATTACATATATACTTTTTTAGTTGGATTCGTAGTGACCAAGACTAAATAGAAGTCGTTTAGCGCATGGTGGGTTTGATGTTGATGGAGCTTTTAACTTCATAGCCTTCTTCCAACCCACTGGCATAGTCATAGTCAAAGTAAACTTTATGTTAAGGTCACTTGTGGACTAAGCTCAAATAAGATTTTTTTTATTTGGAGGGACTTTTTGTCCCTGGTCTGATTCCTCTTCTACTTTCTTTGTTTTTTTTTTTTTTTTTGAATAAGGATTTCTCTAGCTTTTGGACTTATTTCTTGGTGGCAATATATTATATATTCGAGTGACAAAATATCATCAATTAAAAAGAAGTTTCAATCTTGAAAACTAAAATCTCATGGAATTCATGTAAACTAATCTTAGAAGAAGGTCGATTGCTCCCATTTACATTTCTCCGAGCTATTGAGATATACGATTCATTGGAAAAAGTTAATGGTTTTCAACGAAATATATCCGCGGGCAGTTCGATAGGCTTTGTCTGACCTATGGAGAGCCCAGAATAAGGCCTTTTAAGTAGAGGAGTTAACGAGTAGAGTATAGTATTGGTAACGGGTCAGGATTAGTTTTTGTTTATATCGAATTTAACCCATTTTATATTTATTAAATTTATATATGAATTCAATTTAAATTTTTTTTTAATTTTTAATATCTGAATTTAATCAGATCCGATATTATATAAATAGTACTCGATTTGACTTAAAATTAATAAAATATTATTTTTTAAAATATAAAATATTTAAATATATAATTATATAAATATATTAATTAATTAATTAATTAAAAAATTATTTTTATATAATATCGAGTTATGTTGGATCAAATCGGGTTTGTCTAAAATTTAAACCCGACCCAATTCTGATTTTTTTATAATATTACCCGATCCAGAACTCGATTTAAAAAAAAAATCGATCTTATGGGATCGGGTTGAGTCAGAACCCACCAGGGGCAGGTTGGATTGCCCACCCTAGTAGAATGTAGGGCAAATAAAATATTTTTTATTTTTATTTTAAAATTTTTATATTATATATTTTCATACTCATATTAAATGAATATTTTAAATTTATTTTTATTTTTACATTTGCATATTTTTAATAAATATAGATAATCTTCATACTGATAATAATTTTTTAAAAAACCAAATTTATTTTTTTAATTTTTATCTTACATTTTTTTATAAATATATATTACTATATATTTTTAAATAAAAATATATTAGTCCTAATTAATTTAAAATAATAATTTATATTATTTAATAAAATATATGTTTACTAAATTTATAAATATATATGTAAAGTATGAGTATGGGTACAAAATAAGTGCTATATTACTCATCTCCATCTTATAATGGATGAAAAAAATTTTAAATCATACTCATTCATATTCTCACAATATAATATCTTTCTTCATTTCCATTTAGGTATAAAGTTAATTTTTCTATTGAATACAAGTAAAATTAATATCTTACTTTTAAGTATGAGCATAGCTTGGCATGGGATAGTAAAATATTAATACAAATTATTTTTTATTTAACTTTAATTTTAAAGTATATTTAAAATATTAAAGTACTATTGTTTTATTATTTTTAATATTTTTATATATTTTAAAAAATGAATCTTAAAGAACTGACGAACTCCAGCCGAGCTATAGACAATAACTTTAAAAGGGTAGCTGAGTCTAATCTGATTCATGGATAGATTTATTTCAAATAAAATTTGAAACCCCATGTATCATCCTGTTAATTGCTAGGCAATTGCAGATAAAAATAAAGAGCACATTTTTTTTTCTTTCTTTTGCATAAAGGAAGCATTTAGTATGAGATGATCACTTTTAAAACTATAGTGATTTACACATAATGATTAGATCATCGTATTTAATAAGCATTTAATAATATTTTGTAATAGTGATTTGAGATTACTGAGAGTGATCACATCAATGCTTTAAAGGATAATTTAATTTTCATCGACAATGTGAGAAACTTTATTATCAAAATAAAGTGATATATAAAATTATTAATAGTCAATATTACTAATTTAATATGTGAATTAAAAAGTTGTTTCTTCTTAAAGTTGTAATTATTTTATATTATAAATTTTTATATTTTCAAATTAATGTTAATGATAGGTTCAAAAATAATTTGTGTATTTTTTTTTATTTTTTTAATGTTTTATATATAATATAATCTTTTTGTTTTTTATTTTAATAGGTTATTTTTATTTTTCAATTCAAATATTTGTTTACATAATTTATATTACAAAAATTGGTTTACCTAATAAAGAAATATATGATTAATTTAATAATTTAATCATATTTTATTATAAAATAAATAAAATATTATTATATTTTATAAATTATTAACTTGTGTAACTATCACAATATGCTTGATTATTTTCGTACTTTTAAATAAAATGATATTTAAGTTTTAGTAATACCAAAAACAGTTATGTTTTCATCCACAAATGTGAGAAACTTTTATCATCAAAGTAAAGTGATATATAAAATTATTAATAGTCAATATTACTAATTTAATATGTGAATTAAAAAGTTGCTTCTTCTTAAAGTTGTAATTATTTTATATTATAAATTTTTATATTTTCAAATTAATGTTAATGATAGGTTCAAAAATAATTTGTGTACTTTTTTTATTTTTTTAATGTTTTATATATAATATAATCTTGTTGTTTTTTATTTTAATAGGTTATTTTTATTTTTTAATTCAAATATTTGTTTACATAATTTATATTACAAAAATTGGTTTACCTAATAAAGAAATATATGATTAATTTAATAATTTAATCATACTTTATTATAAAATAAACAAAATATTATTATATTTTACAAATTATTAACTTGTGTAACTATTACAATATGCATAGTTATTTTTGTACTTTTAAATAAAATGATATTTGAGTTTTAGTAATACCAAATACAGTTATGTTTAATTCCCATGAATTAATAATTATTGATCAAATAAAATGATTTTAAATCAAGAGTGATAAGATCATCTTAATAATAAAATTACTTCAGTAATTATACTACCATAATGATTTTGAAAATAATATCAAATACTATCAAAGAGATTAATTAGTACAAGAGTTAGAAAATTGGTATTATAAACAAAATAAAATTGGGGCTAAATTTTCCTACTACTAAAACAAAACTTTATATATTTCTACTATGAGAAGATAAGGCGTTAGGTCTTTATCAAACCCTAATGTTCGTCAATACTCCAAACTTCTTATTGTCATCAATGTTGACCGCTAATTTATACTTGCTTGACCTATTTGATCATTTAAGCTAATTGAATCTTGTCTTTTGTCCCTTTTTTGTGTTAAGTTTGGTGATAGATTGTTTTAAAAATTTAAGTTCATAATTTAATTTGAAATTAAAATTTTAACACTCTATAAACTAATATCTTGTTAAGTTGAAAGATCAATTATTCTAAAACTTAAATTTCATAAAAAAAAAAAAAAAAAGCATCCAACTATTGTACTTTACTTTAACACTTTTCAGTGATCAAGTGTAACCTTTTTTGGGTTTAGCACGAGAAATAGTTTTTTATTTTTTTAAATTCTTAATCTACATTTCAATCTCTCTATTCTTAAAAATACAAGTTCAATATTTTTTTATATAAAAAACTTAATTACCAACATATTCTCTAAATATTTTAAACTTAAATAATAAGAAAATTACTTTCCTTTTCCTTTAAGTTAATTATTTTCCTTTGGGAAAGTTTGCAAAAAATAAAAAGTGCATCCCTGTTAAGGTGGAGCTTGCAAAATATTTGTCTTCTATAACAAGTAGGAAGCAACTCTAGAACATCTCTTCTTTCAATGTCCTCTTGCCAAAGCACTGAGCGTTACCGTAAAATAGATTAAGGATGGACTGTTTTAATACAAATATAGCCTAAGGATGGACTGTTTTAATAACGGATAAAATTAAGGATAGTTGATTATCCTAGAGTGCACTTCAGACTATGGAAGCCAATTGGTTCTACGGCCAATTTGTCTATCTCTTTTGGTCCATCATGATGAATGCATTTCTTGAGAAAAAAGTGTTCATAATTAGTAATTACCTTCTCAAAGTGGTGTTTAGTTATAAAGCTCAATCTTCAAGGATCACCAAAGCATTTCATCAACAAGATTGACAGAATGGAAACATAGAAGTATCTCATGCTAACTAGGACTGACAATGCAATTAAACCAAACGGAACCAAGGGAAACTCATTAATGGTCTCTGTTTCTCGACATCATTAAA